TTGTTAAGAAATATCGATTTAAATACTTTTTAATGATTATAAAACATTGAATTTCAATTCTTAAAATATCTTATGTACGTCAGAAAATATGACGTGTATAAGATATTTTAAGATTATGATATATGATTAAGATTATATTTGGATTATGATATAAGATAATTTAATATTATGACGTACGTCAAGATATTGAAGATTAAATGAACCCTTAATTTAAAATTATAGAACCTTATTAAAAAAGTTTAATTATTTTTGTTCAAAATATTACTGTTCATTGCAAGCATTGTTTTTTTTTTTTGCTAGCAATCGAACACAAATTAATTTCTTTTAATTTGTAAGCAATAATTTCAGACAATTAGAAACGCAATAATTAAGGAATTAGTGTGTCTGTGGGGTTTGACTGCCGACAATGTCAATATATCAAAAGGTACCTTCAAATAGAATCAAGTTAACATGTCTTATATAATAGTGAATGGTAATTGAATAATTGTAGTGGTAATTATGCTACATAACTCCCCCATCAGAATTTTATCTAGGATTGAATTAGATGAACGGGTATCACTAATTGGTTCATTGCTGTTTTGCGAGACGCCGGGAGAGCTGCACTGAGATCACCGTTAATCTCGATCAGTGCTGTTCTTGAGAGCTGTATTAAGATCACAGTTGTGAGCACACAGCCTCTGTATTGCAATTAGCAGGCCAATGTGTACATGCCTCCACTAAGTATGATCGAGACTGAGTAGCAACAGTGTGAGGAGGACTCTTTCGCAATCTCAAATAGCAAGGCAAATAATCATTGTGTTCCATCCATCAAACTAGGCAAGTTCATATCGAGACAGGCGTGTTTAGATCACATCCGGAAATCAACAGTGTGAGGCTAAGCTTCCAACGGTGTCAACCTTCATCCATCTAAAGCTACCTCCAGGAAAAATCGAGTTAACATGTCTTAAATTCCATCGGAATTTAACAGTAGCAGTGGTAGCTACGCTACATGTCCTAAAAAGTTATTAGAGTAGAAGAAAAGTAAATATTACACTATTTTTTTAAATAAATAGTTATGCTGTCTTTTTTTGAATGCCTAATGACGATTTCATTGATAACATTTTAAGATTTTGCAGTTTTAACAAATTCCGATTCAAGTTTATTTTATATTATAACCAGCGTTGAGCAGCCGACTCAATTCTGAGTTTACGACTTTCTATGGAACGCAGAAGCCAAGGGATCTTCTGATCAAGTATTGGGACAAACTAGCTTTTGTGGAGGACTTTTTGGTGGAACTAACTTGCATTTGCGTTACACGGAGAGGAAAACCACGAAAAACTCCCATGTTAAGCCAGGCAGCAAGAGAATTCTAACCCATGATTCATCTACCACTGAGGATATTTTTCGTCAACACTGTAGTTGGTGCGAGCCGGGTGCGGAACTCGCTTCGATCTACCATAGTTGGGATTCGAACTCGGGTGACTTCATTGGAAAGCGAGTAGTAGTTGGTGACTTACGTCTGGAGTACAATCCAATGAAGTAGTAAAATATTTCGTATTATTTGCTAGCTGTGTAATCTGGAATTTGAATTCCTCAGTTAAAAACGAAATTAATTCGTTCCTGAATCGTAAGGGACAAATAGAACGGTGAGGATGTCGTCATAAAGCTGTCCAAATGCTGTTTCATTACTAGATCATATTTCGTGAATATTTCAATAAAACCCAAAAAAACTACCATTATTCGGTGTTTACAGAACATCACTACTTCCCCTGAAACCAAAATTATGGTTCAGACAAATACAAAATTACCAAACCCATTCTTCCACACATTTTTCAAACGTTGTTTTTCATTCCTTCTAAGTTTTTGGTTTTCCTCATCAATAGTATTATTTGAGTTCATTCTTTCTTGCAACTCCAACAAGCTATGCATCGCTTGCGTATGGTTCTTCAAGCCTTTATTGGCTTTGTAGCCGACAACTTAAATTTTTCCATTCTTAGTGCATTCAGACCCAACGAAGTAATCCCAATTGAGAACAATTCGCATGCATATCAATAGAACATTACCCTTTTTGGTTTTTGAGTAAAGCAACCATTTATTCTCTTGACGTTCACCGTTTCTTAAATGTATAAATATAATGGCATTCAGAGGAACTCCGATTGTTTTATAACCGTTGTTGAAGAGCCGACTCTATGACTACCATTATTCAACATCTAGCCTTGTAATTTTGAACCCAATCCAGAAGACAAGGGAACTCCTGGATCAAGTATTGGGAGAAATTTGGAGCAATTTTTGAGGGAACTAACCAGTATTTGCGATACTTGGAGAGGAAAAACACGAAAACCTCTAACGGTTAGCATCGGTGATGGTATTTTTTAACCCATAACTCGTCTACCATTGAGGATATCTTAAGTCAGTTTTGTGGTCGATGCGAGCCGGGTGCGGAATTTGTGTCGACCAGCCATCTCTGGAATTCGAACTCGAGACCCCTCATTTATCCCCTGAGTCACCACAGCTCTGAACTCCGATTATTGACGTCTTTAGGGAAACAATGTTTTTTTGGTGGGGGTTACACAGTTAAACACAATTGCCATCTTAAATTTATTATTAATAATTTCCGGCTGTGTTCCTAAATGATTAATGTCATTATCTGAATAAAAAAAATCCTTTTCTGTTTCTTCATCAAGAAGTATACGAGGTGTTTTTCCAATTATTTCGTTTCAATTAATTCTTCTTTTTCAAAAAATGTTTTTTTCATCTAATCTATTAGATCAGCAGTTCCAATTTTTTTCGGCTAAATTGTCAACATCCTTTCAACCTAACCCTGACTTTATAACTTTAGTATATAAACACAATTGTGAACGTATTAACATAAAAAAAAATTTGGTTTATTTTGAAAATATTTAATAAAAAAAGGGGATTTTTTCATTACTTTATCATTAATAATCTTAAATTAGGTTTTATAGCTAACATTTGAATTCACATTTCTGGTCTCGAATCTAGTCTTGTTATGAATTTGCATTTTGTGTATAAATATAATCTGAACATAAATGAAATAAGTCAAATTATGGTTTTCGTTGAAATGAAAACTAAAAAGAACTGCTAGAAACGTTGAAAATTGCTAGTGGAAATAATATTTCTTTATAACAATCCAGTTATTTTAGTTTGAAAAGCGCAACGGGAAGTACGAATGTATTATTTTATAAATTCATATCATTTGCATAGTTTATTTAATACAATGTTGTTTGAAAATTCGTGTAGTTTTTTCAATAAAATGTGCCATTTCTTTATCTTTTGGCATTTTACTTTCAATAAAAGCAACTTTCACTAAAATTACTTTCAATAAAATTCATAAAAGCAACCAACATATTAAGTAAGTAATGCAATTGATTGAATCTAAATATAATTACGGGTTTCGAAAATGTTAAAATAAAACTTTAAAAATATTCTGAACTCTTAGAACTCGTTTACCTCGTTCACGAAAGCTTAGATTACAGCTCAGATTAGTCGACTCATGAACCGTTTCTTCGGCAAGAAGTAGATATATGATGTTTCTTCGTCTGTTTTATTTTAGTTTTTAATTATCTTGAAACTGATGCATTTTTTGCTATTTTTTAGCAATTTCCTTTCGATTAAAGAAAACTTAAGTTCCTTATTATCAGATTTAGTAGAGTTAGACGTCAGTGTTAATTAGTTGACTTAGCTAAACCTATTTGAAATTTTTTTTATAGTGTTTCGCTCATTTCCGTTTCTTCATTTTTCTTTGCTTTTCAAAATCACTCATATATTTTCTATCAATATCCCTGTTCTTACTAGTCATTTTCTGTAATTGTCTAAAATAATAATAGGTCATATGATATCAAATTGAAAAAAATATATCTGGAACATCTTAGAATAAAACCGCCTTATTTCCTTGAAGAATTTGTATAACAATTTTTAATGCATGATAAAATGTCTATCTTTTCTCTTTTGGACAATTGCAGTAAAATATTGCAAAAAGAACAGATAAGTATATTTTTAAAAAAAATAACAATTAAAATAATTATGAGCATTTAGAGTGAGTGAGGATAATCGTGAAACGTTAATTTTTACCGGCATACTTATATACTTACTTACTACTTATACTTACTTATATATACTTATGAGATATACTTATGAGATTAAAACGTATCAAAAGAATAAAACAAAGAGTTTCAATTTTTTTTAAATAAATATTTTAAAAAACTATATTAAGCTTGCAATTTTTAAATATTTGACTTTTTAAAAATTAAATTTCTCTGGAACAATTTGAGCGATTTCGCTAAAGTTCTGAATTTTGCCATATGAAATCACATTCTTTAAAATGATTTAAGAACTTGTATTTCTTACAAATCAAAATTGTTTCACCTATTATTAAATAAAATATTAAATAGTTATTAAAACCTACTTTTTGGTTAGATTTTTCTTCGGGTATGCTAATTTCATAATTCTGTTGAAAAAAATTCAATTCTCTTAAAAATATCTCGAGAAATGGCTAAATGCTCAAAAATAAAAAATTAAGATTAAGGAATCGAAACTTTCGATCTCTCTCCTGACTATCTAAAAAAAGGTTTCCGTCTAAAAAAAGGCATATTTATTCACAAAAAGTAAATTTTCGTGTCTGATTTCGTAACTTAGAATATCGTCAACGCAAATTAATTAGCACGTTTGACGCCATCTCCGTGAGCCATTCAGTTAGAGTCCTTATTAGATCGAAACCCCGTTTATTAGATCATAAGTTATTCAAAGTTTTTTTTTTCGCTTACTGTACATTGTATGTTTGTCCCATGCATGTATGGGCAATATATGTATGTTCAATGTTTAAGTCCAAATGTACAATTTATGTTTGTACGTACCTATATACAATATTGTTGGATAAAATGATCTCTGAAGCTTTATTTTACAACCAGGAAGTGTGGTTTTTAAGAACTTAAACTCTCATGTCATGTGACTGCCATCGCATGTATCTTTTCAAGGTCTAAATATTAATTAAATATAAATGTTATATTTAATGCTTTAATGTTCTCTTCGCTTTGTATATCTTCGATTGAGGATGAAGTCATATCATTCCTCGCTGCTTGTAAAAATGTTTTATCAAAATGAATCATTAAATTTCTATATTGATGCATAACAGATGCTTCTTTAATGATGCTAGTTTAACCGGTCACAAATTAATCAATATCAAACAACTTATTTTCAGCCATTGATCGAACTCATCGCCTTGAAAAGGTAAGATTTACTACCTTTTTCCTATCCAATATATGCATGTACAATGCATAAATGTACGTATAGACATAAAATGTATGTACATGTAATATATGGGTGGATATACGTATGTAGATGCAAAGATAATTATGTACAATATAACTTTAAATAATGTAATTTTACATGGCAATCTTCCAAATTTGAGCTAAATCGTCGAATCGTTCCCGAGAAATCGAATTTTAAATATGCAACTTTTTTAAATGATTTAGGTCAGGGCTCGAAAAAACTCAAAACTTTTACCCGTCCCCGAGGACGGCTTGTCCAACAATGTACCCGTCCTCCTTTGAAACTAACCCGTCGCTTCTAAATAAATAAAAATATATTTTTCTCTTATTTATTACTATCATTTATATAAATTGCACAATGAATTAGTAGTTACTAGGATTACAAATACTAGAATTGCATTATACAGTAATAAAAGGAATACTAGGTTACTATAATAGGAACCAAGTATTTATTTTATAAAATAATTTATTTCTTTTATGAAATAATTTATTTCTTTTATGAAATAATTTATTTCTTTTATGAAATAATTTAAATGACAAATGTCAAGTTGTCTGGAATGTCAATTTATCCGAGGGTATTGCCTTTTTCAAAATGAATCAAATATGACGTTAATGATTTACAGAGGTTTCTGCACAAAACTTTGAAAGGGGTTTTTCATTAGGTAGATGTTCATAATTGCGTTTAACGCTTCTCGTTTAAAACCAATACGTAATGTTTTTTTTTTTTTTTTTTNTTTTATTTCTTTTTTTTTTTTTTTTTTTTTAATTTCATTGCTGAAAAGTCCCTTTCAACCGCTGCAGTGCGGGAGACAGAGAAAACATCAATTCTACCATGCGCAGTATGTTGCTGTATTTCTAGATTAGAGGGTCATTTAAGAAGTGAGGCGCTAGACTCTTGTAAGATAACAAAAATTGAAAATGTATCACTAATATTAACGGGAAAATGGCCGTCCGCGCCGACGTCGGATTCGAGAAATTCGTTGTCCGCGGGGAATTTTTGACAGCCGAGGACGGACGGACGGGTGGTTTTTCGAGCCCTGATTTAGGTGCAATATGCTAAGTTGTAATCATGAATCGTATGATCATTCTACATAAATACGCTTTTACATTGTGTGTACATAATTACGCACATACATTGCAATTTCATACACATACATGTACAGATATCAGTAGAGACCTTGTATGTACTTACCTAATTAAAAATCTCAATAAATGTATGGGTTATTCATTAGCGTTTTCCCTAATATAAACGAGAGGAGAGAGACTGGTGTAGACATGGATCTAAAGTGGATATCTTGAATAACTTTTTTATGTATTGATAAAATCTCCTCTGTGAGATGCCGAAAATTGGCAACACTGCTGTACACTTCCATCCGTAGTTGCATAAGCACACTGGAATACTGTAGTAAAAATTAGTTAAAGAAGTTATTTAAGATGCAAAAGTAACTTTCAAATTTTCTCTTGACTTTATTGTTAACACATTTTATTTTCAGAATTTCCACTGAAGAAGATAATATGTTATAAATGATACTGTTTTTAGCCATTTCAATAATAATCATTGTCCTGTATTATATGTCTTTGTGGGACTAGTGTAGACACACGTTTGCAAGACTAGACTGGACATGCTTTAGGTGGATTATAAGTTAGCAACTTTTTTCATTTTTAAATCGCAAAGTCTGATCAATATAAATAGATCTAATCTACTTGAGGACAATGTTACAATAAGAGTTATCAACTATTTGTTAGTCAAGTTCTTTTAATAAAAAAACAGGTGCATTATGTTGGTCGAAAGAAAGCTGTTTATTTTGAAGATTATGATGTTCAATTTATAAGAAAGAAAGGTGTATATTTTTATTCTAATCATAAATATTTCAGTTTTCCAAAAACAATTTCTCATATTTCAAAGAAAGCAAAATAGTTCACAAACTTCCCTTGCCAGTGACTGATACAGAGTTAACAAGACTGTATTTCAATGCACGTTTAAAGTTGACATTTGGATTATTTTAATAAAATAACAAAAATAAATTTAAATCTGTATCAAATGAAAAAAACTGAATAACGGATTTCAAATGTTCCGATTTGCGCTCACTACGTCTTTTTTAGAATGAAAAGCTGTTTTATAAATTAGTATTTCAATTAATATATGTCAATATCTATTATTCACTATGGCTTAGATTTAAATTAACTTCATTTTAGCTTTAGATATTTCTTTTTGAGTTGTAATAAATGACAACTTAACAACTTTCCTGATTGTCTACTCATATTTTGTGCATGCTAGCCCCTTGTAGTGGGGCTAGTGTGAACAACAAAAAACTTTTAAAAAATTTATGACAAGCTAAACAGCTTTTTAAGTCCTTATTTAAACCGAAACGCAGTAAAACAATCTAAAATATTTTTAAAAGTGTACTTCACGAGGTGAAAAAATATTTAATAAGGTTTCTTAGTAAATTTGTATAAAATCTCCACACTAGCCCCCTCTCTCCCCTTGCTAGTTTCCTTAAAAATAGAACGAAATCTTTTGTTTAATCCCATCAAAAGAACGAGCACTTGCGTTTAATAATAATGTCATTTTATCAAAGAAAGTTTTCTCCTAATTTGAGAGTATGTGGGCTTATTGAGAATAACAAAAAGTGGTCTTCGGAAGAAAAAGAACTGCAAAAGTAGATATAAATAGCTAAGTTATTTACTTAAGTTGGACTAGTTCTTTAAACTTAAGGGTTCTTGGCATTTTGAATCATCTTTACACAGCATAAAGAGTCTCTTGTAATGGATATGGCATTAGGTAATTAATCAAATTTCTCACGGTCAAGATATGAAGTCAAGCTTATTATTTTTTGTTTATTTCTACGTCTTAATTATCTTGCTTTCATATCTGTGTTAATGGGATCTTAACTGAAAATTTCAACTATTTTGAAACTTCAATATTTTCAAATATTTACGGAAGCTTCGTGTCGGATGACAATGCAAAGTTTTAATCGTTTCCTGGTCATTTTACGCAGTAGTAATTTTTTAATTCATTTTATTTCATAACCGGCATTGAACAGCAGATCCAATTCTTAGTTAACAATTATCGATGATCAACTTAGTAGGTTTCTAATTTTGAACCACACCCAGAAGACAAGAGAACTCCTAGATCAAGTATTGGGAAAAAGTAACCTTAACATAGGATTGTCCTATAGAACCAACCCTCATTTGTATTACATGGGAAGGAAAACCAAGAAAAACCTCCATGGTTAGCCCGACTACAAGAGGATTCTAACTTATGATCCGTCAATCACTGAAGATATTTTATTTTTATTTTACGGCTACTAATGTTCAACTCCATTGCCTTGTAGTTTTGAACCCAATCCAGAAAACAAAAGAACTCCTGGATAAAGTATTGGGAGAAATTTGCCTTCGTGGTGGACTTTTTGTAGGAACTAAGCCGCATTTGCGTTACGTGGAGAGGAAAACCACAAAACCTTCCACTGTTAGCCTGACGGCAAGGGAACTTTTTTAATTTTTTTTTTTAATTTCCAATGAGCTGCACAATCGGTCTTGCCGATGAGCAGACCTAGTGCGTTCTCCAGAGGTGGTATCCACTCTTTCAGGACCACCACAATGGGTGAGATACCGTTGGTCATGTACGTTGGACGTCTAGTTTTTGCCACACTAGATGGCAGCACCGAAACTCTATTTGGATGCTAAAGTGCACTAGGAATTTAATTTTGCCGGAAATGCCAAGAGCCAATAAGGCACTCCAGGGATCTTTTACATGCCGCATAATCATACGAACAAGGGAACTCTAACCCATGATACGTCTACCACTGAGGATATTTTACGTCAGCACTGTGGTCAGTGCAAGCCGGGTGCGAGATCTGTATCCACCAGCCATCGCTGAGATTCGAACCCGGTTCACCTCACTGAAAGGCGAACGCTCTATCCTCTGAGCCACCACTACTCACTGAGGATATTTGACGTTAGCATCGCGATCGGTGTCAGCCGAATTGCGATTTCTTCCTATCTATTTAGAGCTCTCAAATTTTAACTGGAGCTCTGTTTTTTTTTATGACCTTGCAAATTTAATTGTTTCCTATCCGTTGCAAGCAAAATCTGCCTTCATTTTAACTGCCATTGAAATTTTGATCGCCTTAAGACAGAAACAAATAAACAGAACAAAAAAATGCGTAAAATAAAATAAAAATTATTTTAAAATTACGTTTTTTAAGTAGATTTGAAAGGAAGAGGTAATTCTATTTTCCTCACAACTATGACGCATAACGAACGACGCTTTGCTACACCTATAAAGAAAACATTTCAACGGTGATGAAGTTCACCATCGAAAACTTCTCTCGTGCCTTTTAACCCACCGTTTTCAGTTTTAGACGTAACACGAACAATTTTTTTTCTACCCCATTGGAAAAATGTTGTATTTAAAATTACTAGTATTTGATTTTCTTACATGTATTTTTAATTTAATACACGCAAAAACATAATTTTCGTTTGCATTACTTTTTTTAATACGCTACAAAATGAAATTTTCCCAATGTTTGTCCTTAGTTTTTGCTGCAATCTTTCATTCTTTCCTTTCATTTCGCATCAAATCAAGCTCCCGAAGAAAAAAGTAAATTATGCGTGGAAAATTTAATTAAAATAGAGGGTTAGCTTATAGTTAATGAAGTGGTTTTTATGACGATGGGAAAAAGTTGACCTTGTTTGACCTTATGGAATATATTAAGAAATATATTAGATATTGATTGAATTTCTGCTGAAGGATTTACCAAGAACAATGAATAAAACACAAAAGCTTAGCTGTGCTATAAATCTTTAGCTGTTTTCTCCTTTATATAATAGCTTATTATTTTTTAATACCTTTTGAGATCATATATTTTTTTTATTTATTTATTTATGATAGAAAATGCCAGCAATTGTTTTCGAAGAGGGAGTGATGTTTATTTTCTCTTGTGAAACGCCAGTCTT